GAAGGGCGAGGGTCGCATCTGAGGCCTGGAGGTAGACGGCTTCACTGTCGCGACGCCTGGTCGCGTGTCTGACATGTACGAGGAGTTGTGCGAAAGCCGTGATGATGGAATCGCAGATCTGATAATACATATAAGCTGTCACTTGTCTTGTCGAGGAAACTAAGTTGCCAGCAGGTTGATGTCGTTCCGTTTGTCAGCATTGCCAAATCCAGCGCAGTCGTGACATGGCCGAGCCAATTGCTTCGGGGTGAGCCTCATGATTGTCAGCTCGATCGGCCAAACCCAGGGGGGCTCGCACCAAAGCTTCTGTTGCAGCAGTTGAAGGTGTTTCCCGGCATCTTGCAGGTCCTCGGTGTTGGGGACGTCCGTGATCTCACGAATCGGTTGTATGGTCGGACCGAGGTATAAGATCGAGGACGGTTCGAGGCGGGTACCCTCATGCCCTTCGTGTTTGCTGGATGCTCTTGTGCATCCTAGGAAGGTTAGCTTCGAGTGTTCTTCAGTTCGGCCCGTGGAGGCTCTCATGTTCGTGACAGATGCTTATCTGTCTTAGGTCTGACGGTATCATTTTTTCCTGCATGCGTGGAATGGCCGTGGTGTCGTTGATGTACAGGCTGGGGTGAGTAAGTGTGGCTGTCATTCTTCCTTCAGTCGCACCAGTTGCTAATGCCGCTAGATATTCTGAAGCAGTAGGGCGGGTCGTCGTCAATGAGACGTACGATCTTCTTCGAGGACTTGCTCGTCGTCCCGTTCGAAGGCAAGTAAGGTTAGAGAGTCGTGACAGGTCGCTTGTAGCCCATGCCTGCTTGATGTCACTGTCGAGGGTCAAATGCCAACAGTGATTCAGCCATTTCTGATGTGATCGAAGTTGGGCTTTTAGATCGCGTAGAGCTCCGGACTGAAAGGGTAGTCTTCGTTCGCGGGATTTGGCTCGTTGGCGTAGCTCTTGTAGTCGAGCATGCTGGGCTTGCCTGTGCCAATGCTGTCGAAGCTCTTTGCGTGGGTAGTTTGCCGCTGCAGTGGTACGAACCAGAAGTTAGTCAAGCTGCATGTTGTCTCGGAGATTCGTTTATTTTGGCATCTCGGAAGAGTTCCCGGCCAATTCCGTTAGACAGTCTTGTCGTTAGCAGCCTCTTTATATTCCAGCTGCCAAACCCTCCAAATCCCAAGTTTGTCTGCTATCAAGTGCCTTAGACCATGCAATATGGAGACGCATGCGCATGACCATGGGAATGTGGTCGGGTACGTGTTCGAAGCCTCGGACTCGTCGGTGTGCTTTCCAATCAAGCCGTATACTTCGAACGAGTTTGTGTAAGCTACCTATTCCGATGACGTAGTCGATCCTAGACCTCGATCGTTGAGGGCCATGATGTGTAGCCGACGTTCGTGTGAGTGTCGATCGCTGAGAGCTCGTGGTGCAGCAGCTGGTTGTGAACGTGTCGACCCAACTCGCTCTCGTCGTCAGCCTGGTACGGCTCGACGGCATGGTCAGTAGTAATGTTCTTTAACTGGATGACTAAGCTCGGATTCACATCGGTACGACTCATTGGTATGACTTGTGAAGGACATTCGTTTGCCACCCATCGGTTGCGTCCTTCCTTATATGATTTCTGCTCGAGCTGTCCAGCAGGTCGGGGAGCGACATATTCTACAATGCATCTGACTCGAAGTGCTCTCCGATGGACCTAAACAACTCCTCGCCGTCCTCGGAGCTCGCGCCTGGATGCAAGCTTTAACATCTATCACTACGTCGGGAATGTCGTTCAGATATCGCAATACGACAACCCGCTGAAGAATGTTTGTGTGCGTGTGTCCCTAGCCAAACTGGATCCAGTGGTGAGCGACTCATGATTCAACATGGCGAGGGGCATCCTTTGTAGGCTGCCTCACTTTAGTAACTACCGAGATCAGGACTTTGCATGTCTTGAAGGTTTCAGAGGTGTCGTCAATCTTGCCAGGAATGCTCGAAAAGGGTTCTGGCCCACTATCGCCATAGGCTTGGAGAGCACGGCTTGGTTGGTGGCGTCGGTGGTGGGGAGCGTCTCAGTGTTTGGGCCATTCTTTTGTCTTGCCGCAGGTGCGGTTGATGCTGTGTTGTTGCTTGATCTCGGTCCGATCTGTCTGGGCCCCTCAGTCTGTGTCTGGATCCCTTCCTGGCTTTGGGACTTCCGAGAACGCCTTGGCGACGAGGTGGTGACGGTGTAGCGTCGAGCCTCGGTTCATGCATACGATTATCCATTCCATTGATTCAATACCCTTCGAGGACATGCGGATCGAGCTCCACATGACGTAGGTCGTGACGTAGCTGTGCTGCCACCCTGGCCTCCGGTTCGTCACCCTGGCGTCTTTGTCCTTATTGGTAGAGTTTTTTTGGGTTTGCAGCTGGCTCAGGCAGGTTGAAAGTGTTAGTCTGCGTGGTGGTCCTCGTCAATGTGGTCGTTGTCGCCTGAAGAGTATTCCACTCCATGATCAGCCTCCTCCGGGAAGGCGTGTAGTGCATCTGCGGCAGGTCGCATTGGGTGTCGACGGGCTCGGGGTTCGCTTCCTGTCGGCCCGCATGCCTACAGCCGCAGCTGGAGCGCAGAGGCCTGCGGATCCGATCCCCTCGCAGCGCCGCAATGGCGGCAAGCCCTGTGTCCGAGATCATCAGACGGTGGGGGCGCGTCCCAAGAGGCCGCTGCGCCTCAAAGGCCTGATCTCGCCGTGGCATTTGAAGATTCTGATGCTGATGATGTGGATGATGATGATGCTGATGATGATGCTGATGGTGATGTTGATGCTCATATTGCTGATGATGATAATGAATGCGATGCCGATGATGATGGTGATGACAATGACGATGATGACGATGACGACGATGGTGATGATGATACTAACGATCTTGATGATGTAATGCTGGTGGTCACGCTGCTGATGATGCTGCTCATGATGATTATGACGATGCTGGTCAGCTTGGTGATGCTGATGATGCTGATGGTTAGGGTGATGGTTATGGTGCTGATCATGGTGGTAATGATGATGCTGGTGACGATGATGATGACGCTGATGCTGATGATGATGGTGCTGAGGATGTTGATGAGGATGACGATGATGCTGATGATAATGATGATGATGATGACGATGATGATGATGCTGATACTGACGGTGGTGATGATGATGCTGATGACGCTCATAACCATGATGATGATGTTCATGATGATGCGGCTGATGATGGTGCTGGCGTTGTTGTTGCTGATGATGCTGCTCCTCATGATGATTATGATGATGCTGATCAAGATGTTGTTGATGATCTGGATGATGCTGACGGTTCTGTTGACGGTCATGATGATGCGGATGGTGCTGATGATGTTGATGACAGTGCAGGTGATGATGATGCTGATGCTGATGGTGGTGATGGTGATGACGATGGCGACGATGATGATGATGCTGATGATGCTGCTGATGATGATGATGATGATGATTCTGATGATGTCGATGCTGCTGCTGATGTAGGTGTTGCTGATGATCATGCTGCTGATGCTGACGATTGTGATGATGAGTACTATTATGCTAATGATGATGATCATGTTGATAATGTTCATGATGATGGCAATGATGGTGTGCATGATTATTATGTTGCTGATGGTGGCGATGTTGAGGATGTCTTGGCGATGATGTTGATTATCATGATGATGACGATGCTGATTATGCTAATGATGAGGAGGAGGACGATTCTGTTGTCCATGCTGATGATGATTATGATGATGATGACGACGATGGTGATTTTGCTTACGATGTCGATGCTGAGGATGTTTTTGCGATGATGATTGGCATGAGGTTGGATGGTGAGAGGGGGAGGGATGAGCTGTGGCGGGCGCAGCCTCTCGGATGCCCCGGCTGAGCCAGGGCCCCCTTCCGCTGGCCTCCCTCCTCTTGGCCTCCCCCCGCGGAGCCAGGGCCGCCTTCCGCCTTCTAGGGAGGACCTCCCGTTCCATCCTCCCTCCTCCCCCCTCCCTCCTCCCCAGGTTCTCTCCGCCGTTCTCTCTCCTCCCTCCTCCTCCCTCCGCGGCGGAGCGGTCGCTCATCAGCCGCAGCGTGGGGAATCGGCCGGCGAGGGCGGGCGCAGCACAGCCACAGTCTCCAGCTTTCGCGCTGGGATCAGGAGGAGGAGGAGGAAGAGGAGGAGGAGGAGAAGGAGGAGGAGGCAGGAGGCAGGAGGCAGGAGGCAGGAGGCAGGAGGAGGAGGAGGAGGAAAGGGAGGAGGAGGAAAGGGAGGGTCGGTGGGTGACCACGCGCGACGGAAGCCCGTGCTCGGCGCCGTAGGCTGCGCCGCGGGGGGGGGGAGCAGCTGGGCCCAGCGCCGTCAGGCGCTCTGCGAGGGGAGGCCGCGCTCGTGGCCCAGGGACGACCTGGGTGGGGGTGGCCTTCACGACCCCGTGCGAGCCCCCCGCGCTCGGACGGCCCCGTGTGCAGACTGCGGCAGCCCATGGTGGTCGATCGTCCCTCCTCGGTCCTCCCTGTTCTCTTTCCGTGCCTCCCTGCTCCCTCCTCCCTTCTCCTCCTTTCGTCCCCTTCTGCCTCCCCCCTCCCCATGTGCTTGTCCTCCAGCTACCTCTCCCTCCCCCCTTCCCTCTACTCCCTCCTCCATCCCAGTCGTCATCCCCTTCAGTCCCTCATCCCTTCGCTCCTTCTCATTGCTCCTCATGCTCATTTTGCTTCCTTCCTCTTTCCGTGTCCCCCTCCACGCACTCCCACGCCCTCCTCCCCATCCTGCTCCTCCTGCTCCTCCTCCTCCTCCTCATCATCATCATCATCATCATAATCACCATCACCATCACCATCACCATCACCATCACCATCATCATCATCATCATCATCATCATCATCATCATCATCATCAGCATCATCATCATCATCAGCATCATCATCAACATCCTGCCCCTCCTCTTCTTCCTCCTGGTCCTCCTCCTGCTCGGCGTTTGCGCCGGCGCGCGTCTCTCGGCTCTCTCTCTCGCCGGCAGGCGGCTGTCGCGCGAGCACCACCCCGACAAGGTAGGCTGGCGCCCGCCGCCGTGGAGGAGGAGGAGGAGGACGAGGAGGAGGAGGACAGGGAATGTGTTGGGTAGGAGAAGGAGGAGGAGGAGGAGGAGGAGGAGGAGGAGGAGGAGGAGGAGGAGGAGGACAGGGAATGTGTTGGGTAGGAGAAGGAAGAGAGGAGGAGGAGGAGGAGGAGGAGGAGGAGGAGGAGGAGGAGGAGGAGGAGGAGGAGGAGGAGGAGGAGGAGGAGAGAGGAGGAGGAGGAGGAGGAGGAGGAGGAGGAGGAGGACGTGGAGGTGGAGGAGAAGGAGGAGAAGGAAGGCCATGCGGAGGAGTGGCTTCGGGTTGCGCACAGACGCCCCCCCCAAGTACGGTCGGGAGCTGATGCTGAGCGTGCAGCGCCGCTGGTTCTGGCCCACCACGCTGCGCCGAGACACATCCCCGCCCGAGCCTTTCCCAGCCTTTCCTAGCCTTCCCGCCCCGCGGAGCGGAGCGACACGCTATCCGCTTGCAAGGCATAGCGTGTCGCCAGGGCCGCCGCCGTGACACTCTATAAGCAACAGTTCCTGACCGTACCCCCCGATGGCCTCAACAGGTCCCCCGAGTAAACAGGGGCGGTCTCAACACCCTGGCGCCTCCTCCGACGGCGCCCCGGGCGCTCCACGTCCCATATTTGGGGTGTTGAGACCGCTCCGGACTTTTCGGGGACACTTGTTGAGGCCAGCGAGGGTTGCCTGAACCTGGGGGGGCTTGTCCGTGCGCAAGCAACCAGACGCCGTTCCAATGGAGTGTCAAGGTTTCCATGTGTTTTCGGCTTTTCGGGGAGGAGGCTTCCAGGGGCTCCCTCTTTTTCTCGTCCCCCTGTGCCTTCCCCTCCGCAGCACGCGGTAGTTGGCTTTCTAGCTCCGTGCATGTGCGGGGCGCAGTGGTGGTGCTGCATGCGTGGCAGGCTGACCCGCTGGTACGAGAGTGTCTGTGGAAGGTCTGCCAGGATCCAGGGCCGTTGTCCAGACCTGCCCCAGCCTGGGCTCTCCTTGGTGGTCCAGGCGGGGCCTGTGGCAATTTCTTGACTTAGGAGGAAGTTGGTATGGGGAGGAAGAGGACCAGAATTATGAGGGAGAGACGGAGGAGAGGCGGAGGGAGGACTTGGGAGCAGCAGGACAACAGTGCAGTTCAGGGGCCGTGCCAGAGTGCCTGGGTACTCTCGCAGGATACTCTCCGCCATGGGAGGGTGGATCGAGGGAGGGGGACTCGGGCTGGGGGTTGTTGCTTGCTGCTCTCGTCTCTAACGCTGTTGCACGGGTATATATTTTCGGCTCTACGTGGATTTGGTTGGCCTTTCTGTTCCGGGATGTGAGCAAGGTTTGTCTCCGATGCGAGCGAGCGAGGTGGAGCAGGCACAGGAGGAGAGAGACCATGAGAGAGATGGAAGATGAGGAGGAGGATGTTGAGAATAAGGAGGATGCGGACTGACGATGCGTGTAATGATGAAGAGAGGAGGGGGGGGATGAGGAGATCATCGATGCGAATAGGAGGGGGGGGGGCGGCTGAGAAATCCTGCCCCAGGTGGGTTCATCTGGCGCGTTTAATGCGCTGACGGCTGCTCACGAGGCCGCTTTCTTCTCTCAATGTCTTTTCTTTGCTTCGGCCTCGGTGATCATGTCTCGCCTTATAGCTTGCCTCGGTTCTTGTCTCGGGTTCCTGCGCTTCTGTTCATGATCTGGGGAGCCAGTTATCTCTTTCCGCACGCGCGGAGGTGCGTTCTCATCCGTTGCCCCCACATCATGCCAGCCCACGCGCTCCGCGAGCCGCACTTTCTCTTCGCCTCCACTTTACCACCGCCCTGCGCGTTCCTTGGAGGCTGCCAGGGGCGATCCTGGCCCAAGTAGCTCCCAGCTGTTCGCCTTGTCCTGAGCTCCATTGGGGCCATCTGGGCCTCCCTGGAAAGCGTCGGAGTCACCTCGGGCCAGGGCTAACCCCAGGCAGCACCCGAGTTCCACCCCTGCTTTACTACGCTCGCATGGGTCATGATCGCGTTGCGGCCAGATCCAGTTCCAAGTTCTAAGGGCACGCAGGTGTTCGCTCGGTTTTTGCTGGCATCGGACGTGAGGCGTCCTTGTGTCCTCCTCCTCCTCCTAGTCCTCCTTCCCCTCCCGCACAGGGGCGCCTTTTGAGTCTACACGTCTCGCCCGTTCTAGCCGAGTCCGACTGCATTTCGCAGTCACTGGAGTGAGGCCGCAGAGAGAGGCACGATGGAAAGGGGCTCAGAGCGGTGCGTGGTCGAAGTTGGGTGACCTCTTGGTCTGTGTGCCTCGCTATCTCTGCAGCGCACGTGATGGGCAGTGTGGTGCTCCGTTGGTCTCGCTTGCCAAGTCACTCTCGAAATCCCGCATGGGCTTGCCTGCCCGCGCCTGTTACGATCGGCAGGTTGCGAAGCGCTTCGTTGTTGAGGCGGAGAGGCGCTCGCTCCTTCTGCTCTTTCAGGGGCAGGGCTGTTCCATTGGGTGGGTAGGTGGGTAGGCTGCTAGGTCGGCATGCAGGTACGGATGAGGAGGAGGAGGGAGGATAAGGAGGAAGAGGAGGAGGAGGAGGAGGAGGAATAGGAAGAGGAGGATGAAGATGAGGAGCCACATCAGGAAAGGTGACGAGAAAGAGGATGGATGGGGGAGGAGGGGAGCAATAGAAGGAGGAGCATGGTAGCATTGAGCGGCGATCTCGTCTCAGGAGCCCCGAGGCGTCGGAAGACGAGGAGGAGGCGGAAGGAGGCAGAAGGAGGTGGACGGAGGCAGAAGGAAGTTAAAAATGAGGAGGAGGAGTAAGGGGGTGGATAATGTGGAGGCCATGGCGCAGGAGGACGCCGACGAAGACGACGGCCACGACGAGGGCGGCGACGAGCGAGTACGAGTGGCGACCACGATCACGTTGACGAGGACGAGGACGACGACGACGACGAGGGCGAGGACGAGAACCGACGACGACGAGGACGCGGCCGTCCCTTGGCGGGCCCGGAGGCGGAGGGCTGCGCCCACAGCCTGGCGCGCCCACTGATTGGAGGCCAGCGCCCCTGCAGGCCGCCGCTGCGGGTACGACGCGGCGCGGCCGCGGGCAAGGCGCTGCGAGTGTCTCGGCCTGGCGGCGCCGCTGCCCCTCGCCGCCGCCGCCGTCGCCGCCGCCGTCGTTGCCGTCGCCTTTGTTGTGCCTTCGTGATCGCCGCCGACCTCGCCGCCGCCGCTGTTGACGCCGCAGTCGTCGTCGTCGTCGCCACCGAAGGCCGTCGTCGTTGCCATCGCCGTCGTCGTCGTCGTCGCCGTCGTCCGGTCGGCCGTGCAGCCCTCGTCGGCGCAGCCACGCGCTGCATGGTGGCAAGGCGGGCCCAGCAGAGGCCAGGTGCAGGTGTAGATGTTCTGGTCGCGCTCGCACTGGCGCGCTCGGCATCCCCCCGATTTCTGCTTCGGCTCCCCCCGCTTCCGGGCCTGCTCCGCCGCAGACGGGCGGCTCGGCAGCACACCTCACAGGCCTGGCGAAGTGTATGCTAGCTCTTGTAACCGACCATCTACTGGCCTTCGGCCCATCCTGGTGCTTGGGTTGTAGGTCAGAGGCCTCTCGGGGCCCTCTTGGCTCATTTTGGGGCGCTGGTGGCTCCAAAACAGGCATGCGGGATATGAGCCCCTTCATATTCCATCCAGAGGATCTGGGACTGAGGACTACACGGGACCTCATTCCAACTCGTGCCTCGCGGGACGGTGGTGGATCGAGATCGCTGCAGACAGGGAAAGATAGAATATACTGGCAACATGGGTTTCTACTGTCGGAACATAAGCATTCATTTTCGCAGGTTTGATTTCATTTCTTGTATCTGCCCTAGACCCCCCAGCGGCGCCTCTGGCGCGGAGCGCGGAGCGCGCCAGGGAAAGGGGTCCAGCGCCGATCCAGCAAACCCGCGCGGACGTCGTGCTGCTCGCCTTAGCCTGTCCCCTGAGGAGGAGGAGCAGGAGGAGGAGAAGGAGGAGGAGGAGAAGGAGGAGGAGGAGGAGGAGGGAGGAGGAGGAGGAGGAGGAGGAGGAGGAGGAGGAGGAGAGGAGGAGGAGGAGGAGTGGCAGGAGCCCCCCTCTTCCCAGGGAGCGTCCACCGCCGAGTAGTGCGTCGCCACCAGGGTGGCGCCCATTCGATTGCACATTGGGTTGCGCCGTTTCTAGATCACTCTGCTTCCTGACCGACAGCGGCTGTGAGGAGGAGGAGGAGGAGGAGGAGGAGGAGGAGGAGGAGGAGGAGGAGGAGGAAGAGGGAGGAGCGGGTGAGGATGAAGGGGAGGAAAAGAGGGGAGGTGCTGATCGTCGGCCTCGGCGCCGGCCGTCGAGGTACTCTGATGTGCTTTCCCGCGGACCTTGCGCGGAGTGCGTCTGGGGGCGTCCCTGTTTCCCTGAGCCAAACTGCCTATGGAGCGGAGGCTGGCACGTTCAACACGGCCTCAAAGCCATACAACCAGGAAGGCATTTGAACGGGCAGCCTTCTCGTATCTGCTGACTGCTCACACCCGGCCAGCGGCCCGCTGCCTCACTCACTTCTGCCTGCCCCCCTTCATCGAGCGCTTCGGGAAGCCCGTCTCTCTCTCTCTCTCTCTCTCTCTTGCCACCGACCATGTCGTCGTCTTCCTCACGATTCGACTCGAAGCCAGGGTCCTGATACTGCTCCACCTCCGTCTCTCCGAACTGCTCGACCGTCGCCCAGACGAACTTCTTACGCCACGTCGGTAAGTTCACCAGCGCCTCTGTGCACATCACGATGGTCCTGATCGCCTCGTGGAACTCTGGGTCATCCGGTGCCGCCGCTCGACACGGATCCGGCCTCCGACGCCTCCTGCTTGATCGAGCAGTTCCTCCGTACCGGGCGCGACCGCTGGGAGTCCAGGCCGCCCGTGAAGTACTGGATGAGCGTAGGTGACCTCGATCAGGGACAGGCTGTCCATCGCCGTCTTCCGCGCTCGCCGGCAGGCCCTGCACCTGGATTTTGCTTGTGCTGAGGTAGTAGCGGCCGCGCGCCTGGGGTTTGACCAGCTTGTCGCACCTCATCTTGGCATTGACCAGGTTCCGCTGCATGATCACTGTTCCGCTCTCCGCCAGCGTCTCGACCAGGCACCTTGCCGACGCCTTGGTCCCCTGCACCGCCAACTTCATCACGGTCGGATCTCGCGGGTGAAAGGGCACCCCCGTCACCTCTTTCCTCCAGCTCTTGGGCCAAATCCGCTACTGATGCAAGCTGTTGTTGTTTCGCTAGATTCCTTGTTGCTGCCGTCGTTTCTTGTCATCGGCTGCTCGACGCAAGTGAGTAACCTCGTCGGACAGCTGATCATAACTTCCTCGCACCGTCGTTCGTAGCGGATCAATCGATGTCACATTGTTTTTGCCTGTCCATCACCTACTTGGCATGACGTCGGTGCCTATCGCAGCGTCGATGAAAGTCGTGGTTGGTACTCCCGAATGGTGATGACGTCGATCGTTGTCGTCTTATCTTCAACTGGGCCCCCCGAGCTGGTGAGGTTGTCGCACGCGGTTTGCAATCGATAGCTCACACCGGTCCGCGTCTCGCAAATGATTTGTTCTCGGAAGCCATCGCCTCCTGCCACAAATTTATCATCCACTCGTGGTGGAAGGCGAACGCGAACGGGGGCCGCGGTCTTTCCAAAAGGTAGACCTAACACCACAGGATGGTCGGGAGTGATCATTCAGTTCAACGAGGTGTGCAGCGATATCCCCCTTTCACAGGAGGACGGGTTTCCCAATCGATGTAGCTGTTGCACAAGTTTACATGTGTGGCCATAGACTTCGAGAAAGTCTGAAACGACAACTCCATTTCGAAAGAGAGCCGCCGTGGATTCGAGCAGCGCTACTTGCGTTGAAGTGCCGCTTGTTGGTTTTGATCCATGCAGAGCTCTGGGCGATAACTCCATTATGTAAACGAGCAGCTCTGCATCCTAACAGCGCAAGGTTAGAAACGAATGCGCGCGGCGCTGAGGCGAGAGCCAGGCTTTGAAAACGACTGGTGCTCACTCCTGGGAACAGTTGCAATCTTTGACGGGGAATGTTCGAGGCGCCGAGGCAAGAGCCCCACCTCACAAAGGAGCCTCCCTCCATCCGTGGAGCCAGTGCGAGCTTTTATGACCAATGTGCGCACGTCTGCAAGACGAATTCGCGGTGGCGCCAAGGCGACAGCAACATTTGGAGCACGCCCTGCTTGCATCCGTGAAACGGCTGCACCTTTCTACAATTGATGTGCGTTGCTCTGAGGCGAGAACCACATTTCGGAAACGCCCCCCCTCAATCAGTGAACGAGTGCGCGCGGCGACAGGATCGTCAGCCACACTTTTGAATGGAACCCTTTCCACTCGAACTTCGAAGACGAAGTTGCGCGGCGTCAGGGCGAGAGCCACAGTTTGAAAATGGCCCAACGTCCGGCCGTGAAGCTGATGCAAGCTTCTATGACGAACATGCCCGGCGCGGGGGCGAGAGCACCATGTTGAAACCGACTTGTGCCGGCCACGGCATCGCCGCCACCGTGGCGAAAGGGAGCGCAGCGCGCATAGCGCGCCGCCGGAGGGCGAAGGCGAACGGGGATCATGCCTCGTGGGCCTCAGCGGCGAGATGGGCGTGGGCCGCGGACCACGAGGAGCTCAAGTCCCCAGCTCCTTCCTCTCCTCCCTTTCTCCTCTCTTCCCGGGGTTCTGACATTTAGCTATGCAGAGAGGTCGTGCTATTCGGTCTTCTCAATCTCATTTGATGGGATCACTGGTAGAAGCCTGAATGCCTGCGCTGCTCTCCCGCCCGCCTGCCTTCAGGGTGGTGTCGTCCCTTCTTCCGCCGTCCTGCGTCGCTCCACTGCCTGCTCTTGCTCCTGCTCGCCCCCTGGGCTATAGCCCAGGCTTCGCCCTCCTTCCCCCCCTCATGGCGGTCGGTCCCTGTCGCTCGCTCTCCTCCCTCCCCCAGCTCATCCACAACCCTGGCTGTCGTCCCTGGCTCATCCACGTCCCTGCTGCCGCTACTCTGCCGGGTCGTTCACCTTGGGGGGCCGCCGTTTGGTGAGTGGGCCGCGTTTGGGCAGATGTTTCATCACACCTTGCTCATGGCGTCGGCGGCGGTTGGTGATTCCTAACCCAACGCATGTGGGCGGTGCTAGGAAGAGAGTCGCATTTTCAGCGCGGCCCCTTATTCCATGCGTGCAGCGGATGCAAATGTTTAGGTCGACTGTGTGCGGCGCTGAGTCGAAAACCACAGTTTGAACACGTCCCCCCTACATCCGTGAAACTGTTGCAAACTTTCTAGACGAATGTGCGCGGCGCTCCAGTGAGAGCAACATCAGAGTGAGGGGGCCGAACGGTCATTCATTGTCCCTGGGTGCGTGGCTGAATAGGGAATTCGTGGTGAGAATTCTGCTTGTCGTTCTTGTTTTCGTTAACGTTTGTTGTCGTCGTCCCACCCGTGACCCACCCGCGACACCCCGGAACCCACCCCGCGACCCACCCCGCGACCCACCCCGCGACCCACCCGCCGCGATCCACCCGCGACCCACCCTGCGACCCACCCGCGACCCACCCGCGACCCACCCGCGACCCACCCCGCGACCCACCCCGCGACACACCACGCGACACACCCGTGACCCACCCGCGACCCACCCCGCGACCCACCCCGCGACCCACCCCGCGACCCATCCGCAACCCACCGGGCGACCCACCCTCAAGGGAGGAGAAACCACCCTGACCCGACAATTGACGTTTACTAGACGGCCCTAGGCGTTTATTGAACAGCCCTGCCCTATTCGATTCATCCCTTGTGTGCGTTTACTAAACGGCTTCGCTTGCCGGGGTGATTATTATAGGGTGGACTTTCCGCCCTCTACGCCCGCGGCCCACCCAAGACCCAACAGCGACCCACCCGCGACCCACCCGCGACCCATCCGCGACCCATTTGCGACCCACCCGCGACCCACCCGCAACCGACCCACATTGGTTTAACGAAAAATCTGCGCTTGCGGCGTGCTCGTGGTATGATTTGTAG